CATAGGCACTAACGTAATTGGCACTATTTTAGGTTCGAGAAATACAGAATGAACACAGCAGACAACAACTGCCGTCATGGAGTTTAAGCTCTAATTGTGGGAGGCAAAGAACAAAGAAGAAAAATATATAGGGTATGATATACAGTGCTGTGGAAAAAATATAGCAGGAAAGCACTGGGATGGAGAGTAATTTTAAACGGGGGGGGGGGGGGGGGGGGGTTCTGGAGGGGGGGGGGGGGGGGGGGGGAAATATCTTTGCTCCCAGGGGAGTTCGTAATGTCTGGAGACATTTTGCTGTGACAGCTTGGGTGCTGGGGATGCATCTAGTGGGCAGAGGCCAGGAATGCTGCCAAACATCCTGCAGTGTGCGGGGGGGGGGGGGGTAGGTAAGATCTTAATAAAGAGATGAAATTGAAGCAATTACCCGTTTGGGGTGGAGGGTGGGATGAGCCATGAGGTTATCTAGGAGAAAGATAGTTCTGGGTGGACAGAACAGGGAGTGCACATGAGAGGTTCATGGACCAGCAGTGTGGCCAGGACATAGAGCAGAGTGAACAAACAGGAGGATACTGAGAAAGAGGTCAGAGGGGCACAGGCTAGAGTATCTAGTACCCTGTGGGCCACTATAAAGAGTTTTGCTTTCACTCTCAGATGGGAAGCCATTGAAAGGTTTTGAGCAGAGGAGTGACATGAAATGACATATTTTAAAGACCCACAGTGGCTACTGGGCTGAGAATAGATGGGAAAGGAGCCAGAGGGGAAGCAAGGAACATTGCAATAGTATTGCAGTAATCCAGGTAGGAGATGATGGTGGCTTGATCAATGCAAAGATGCTAAGCATCTTGCCCAAGCTCACATATCTAGTAAAGGATGGAACTAGGATTTGACACAGAGACAGATGTCAGTAACTACTGGATGCTCTCTTAAGAATTTTCATGTGAATAAGATCAGGAAGTAATCATTAAAGTTTCCATTTTGAAAATTTATAAAATTGGGCATTTATTTCACTCTCTCCTTAAACTGGGAAGTCTCTAGGCTCTTGTGGCAACATGCTGCTCTCCTTTCTGTGTATGTTTTTGTTTTTGTTTTTTTGTTTTTGTTTTTTCTTTTCGCGGTACGCGGGCCTCTCACTGTTTTGGCCTCTCCCGTTGCGGAGCACAGGCTCCGGACGCGCAGGCTCAGCGGCCATGGCTCACGGGCCCAGCCGCTCCGCGGCATGTGGGATCTTCCCGGACCAGGGCACGAGCCCGTGTCCCCTGCATCGGCAGGTGGACTCTCAACCACTGCGCCACCAGGGAAGCCCTCTGTGTATGTTTATAGAGAGCCTAAAAAATGTTCAGTTAGATTGGGTATAAGCTGTGAGGAAAAAGAGGAGTCAAGGATGACTCCAAAGTTCTTAGTCCAGAGCATGAAATTTGTCATTGTGATGGGGAAGATGAGTCTTGTGAGGGAAGATCAAGAAATAGCTTTTATATAAGTGGATAAGGAGGTACCTATTAAGCAACCAAACAGGTATGTTGAGTAGGCAATTAATATAGGTGTCTGGAGTTCAGAGGTGTGGTTCATTCTGAGTGCCCCAGGTGAGCTGATTATTAAATATTTTGATTACCATGAGATGTTAAGTATTTTGAATATTACTTTTGATAATATCTATTAAGTGGTATTGCAGTTGTCAGTCTAACCCATTTAGTACATAATGTGCATATCCAGGTTTATTTTTACCAAAAAGCCACTTTGATCATATAATTCCTTTCCTCAAGGGTCTTTAGAAGTGCCCCATGGCCTATGCAATAGACTTAAAATTTCTTAGTCTGAAATTAAAAGCCTTTCACAATTTGATCTAAATCGACTTTAGATAGACCACATGAGCCCCCCTCTAGTTACACTGAGCTTTGCTATAATCCTTCATATTTAGGCTTGTCCATCTCTGTTTCATTTAAGTTGCTCCACTTACAATAATATATCTCAGTTCTCACCATCTATGAAAACCCTATCCAGCCTTCAAGGCCCAGCAGATATTCCAACTCCTGCAATAATGATTAAAGCTCTGAATGAGCTCTCTCTGCATTCTTACAGTTGTGTCTCTCTCTCTCTCTCTCACTCTCTCTCTCTCTCTCTCTCTCTCTCTATATATATATATATATATTTATTTATTTATTTATTTATTTATTTATAGATATGTAAATTTCATTAGAAGTAGGAACTTTTGTTACTTTTGTTTATTTTCCTTTGGAATCCACTTAGTGCCATGTGCATAGTAAGTGATGTGTAAATGATTGATGGTCCCTATCTTTAAGATCATATTATTATTAACATCTAAGCTCTTCTATGTATTATCACAGACAGCAACCCCAGGAAGAAGACACCTCTACTATCCCTAGTTTACAAATGTGGAAGTTGAGACTTAGGGACCTTAAGCATCATCCCCAGATTTACAAGCAGTGAAGGCAGAGCTGAGATATGAATCCAGATGACTGGACTCTAGAGTCAGATGTTTAGTCACCACTACGTACTCTGTCTCCTACCTAGATAGCACATTCACTTAAAAATCTATGCAAATAGATTCAGGAAGCAAAGGAGGTTTTTTAAACCCCATTCTAAATGGATATTAAAGAAAAAGCCATGTTTATTTTACCTGCCAAGGAATCCCTCCAAGCATGTGTAGAAATGTGATGATCTCTCTTGAACTAATTTTGAGAGAATTATCATCAACCGGAATGATAGTTACAGACCACTGACCGGTAGTTCCTTGGTCCTTTACTTCACCATATTTCCCTCTGTTAGTTATTTTCCTCTAGAGATTATTTTAGTCACTTGAGAAATGAGGACTCTTCAAAATCACTTTGGAAACATGGAGTGACATGTCCATTTCTCTGAAAGTTATTGTAGCTAGTGAGACTTCTCATGAAACAAAGCTTGACTAAAAGCCAGACTCTTAAAGTATATAGCATATGTGAAAGGGATGGAGGTGAGGTGAAGAGGGCATATGTAACAGAAAATATCCAGTTTATTCCTAGGACAGTACTAATGCAAATTCCTTTTTTCTCAAACCGAACTTGGGACACTCCAGAAGAGTTATTGTTTATTCATAAATCACCACATGGCTCTCTGGAGCTAATAGAAAATCTGTTTGTTGTTAAACTGCCATAGCAGAAAAAGAGGGAAAAAATTTTAATAAAAAATGCAAAGATACAGGATTTCCATTCAGTAGAATCACTCACATCATGATGGGCTACAATGATGAATGTGCAACAGGATACCCATACGGAGGGGACCCAAAGACGACAGTGCCTGGCCAGAAAATATTCTTTCTAACCATTTCTTTAGGTCAGTGTTAACACGTCCACTGGGTTTTTATTACCAAATACACAAATAAGGCTGAAGGGAACCTTGAGCCATATATAATTATGTTTTGTGTGTGTGTGTGTGTGTGTTTGCGGCAGGGATTGGGAGGGAAAAAAATATTTTTATGTTATTGTCTTTTTTATTCTTTTCTGATGAGTAGATTTTACTGTTAATGAAGTGTCAGTCTCCAGGAAATCCCTGCTTGTATTCCCTAAAATCAAATCATATGTGAGTCATAAGTTTTACCTTTAGAACTGTGAACAATTTCATTCCCACTTGTATTTTTGGATATTGCCTTAAGGAAATATCATTCTATTTCACTCAAGTGTACCCCGCAAACAGACCAAGAAACCAGCAGAAAGTAAACACACACACACACACACACACACACACACACACACACACACACACACACACACACGCCAGGTGGAGGGAGCCACAGATGTCAGGGGGCGTGACCAGTTCAGGAAGCAGAGGGAATTCAGTTCGGCTGGAGCCCAAGAATTGGAGACGGGGAGAAGACCTAAAGGAGGAAAAGGAGGGCCAAATCTCAGCCACCCGTTCATTCCCTTTTAAAGAATCTGAATTTCAGGAGTTTTAGGATTTATCCTACATATATGTGGATATCAAATAGGGAGGTCTAAAGAAAAACGTAAATTAAGTGATTGACTAAATTCTTCCTTTTCTCCCTTCAGCAACACATTCTTTCCTTTCTATATTGTTGCCTTTTCTTCTGTTCCCTCTCCTCCAAGTCAAGAATGAGGTCTTCTGCTCTATCACGGCCCATCTGTGTAGCTCCAAACATCTGCTTTCATGCTTTTTTGTTTTTTAAACATCTTTATTGGAGTATAATTGCCCTACTTACCATGTGCTCCATTATCTCAGTGCCCTGTAAAACGACAAGCCAACTCATTAAAGCTAAATGTTAGTGCAAAGATTTTACTTCCATGGGATCATGGAGAAAATGTGGACAACCTATGGAAAAGACAGTCTTGAGACTTTAAACTTGAGAACCAAGTTTAAACTTCCTGCCAATACAGAAGATTAGTTTTACGAACAATACCCGATAACCTTGTAATGAATTATTTTCTTTTTAGTTCCGTGAGAATTATGTATGACTCATTAAATTCTGCACAGCTAAGCTGGCATGTATAAGGCATTGCCAGAAAATCCTTCCCTTCGGGAAGCAAGGAACTGGGCTGTCCAAAAGTCAGCAGTTACCTAATTGATCTGGAAATACAGTGAAGTTACGGCAGCTTGTCTACTGAGGAAAGACTTGGCTTGCCTAGGCTTTCTGTGGTAACTTCCTCCAGTGGGAGAAACTTCCAGTAAGGGAAGAATGGCAATTTACATACCATAGCAAGGCTTATCTGCCTTGTGTGTTAGTCACAGCCTGCAGCTTGAGACATCCTGGGAAATCCCTCTCTGGAAGAGAAGAAAAGTTATAATCACACTTGCTGTGCTTTTAACCTTATTCTGTATAATTCACATACAGAGTCACTTCTGGACATTTTCAGTGAAAAACTGTTGCTATTATTTTCTATCATCAGTTAACTATTTGTGGGGTATTTTTAAAATTATATATATATTTGCCCTGACTTTAAAAGACACCATTCAGAGATATTTTCTTTGCTTTTTTCTTTCTGCTCTCCAAGACTCCAGGAAAACCAGCTTCCGTGGCACATTTCCTACAGTGCACAACTAGAATGAATGGTACAGAAACTTCTACTGAGCATGCAGAGGTAAGAACGCATTTCTAGGGGATGAATTGACCATATATATCATCGACAGCATTGCTAATGGCGAATTATGCGATGATTAATAAGAGTAGAAATGGCTAGTTTGCTTTCTTTAGCTAAGATCTGCTCTATATATTTCAAGAATGTTATTCAACAAAGGAAAAATATCTAGGTGACTGGTTACATTTCCTTTGACACCTCTGAGCTACATTTCTTCTTTTATAAAGTGAGAAATAAAATCTTGTCCTGTCAGCTTTTCTATTCTATGTGTTTCATATTTTGCTCTTGATTTCAAGGAATTTGGTTTAATGTAAAATGTAAAACGAATATTATATTTGTGTGGTTAGAAATAAAAGCTATTATAGCAATAGGGTATCTATGGTGAAATACTTCTATGTACGTAATTAATACCACAGTCATTGTTCTGTTACTGGTTACTGCAACAGATACTTACTAATTGAATGAATGAATGAAAGTGCTTTCTTAAAGATTTTTTTAGAGATAACTAAGATATAATAGGACTCTGAGACTTTTTGGTGCATTTAGGTATTTAATTTAGCAGTCTCAGAACTTGGATCTTTTAGAAGTTGGTCTGGGTATTAGGGTAAATGAGAAATCAAGGTCCAAATACTTTGAACACAGATTACATTTTATAGGGAATAAATGTTCTTTAAATGAGCCCTTAGAAGGACCAGTGACTAAAAATCTTTCTATGCCTTTACTAGCAACTGGGAAGCACAGCAAAAACAAGTGAAAAGTTTCCCCAAAACTTTGTATTTAATTGATTTTCTTTCATTTTAATGCACACCTAAGACATATGAATGGTGGTAAGATGTTGATTAATCCTCAGAGAAATCCCTAGTGATACATTTATGACTTATAAGCCATACCTATTGCTGTGCTTTCTCTGTCTTGCAGATTTAATATCTTTACTAAATCATTTTATAAATGATTTTTATAAAGTTATTTAAAAATAACTCAGGGCTTCCCTGGTGGCGCAGTGGTTGAGAGTCCGCCTGCCGATGCAGGGGACACGGTTCGTGCCCCAGTCCGGGAAGATCCCACATGCCGCGGTGCGGCTGGGCCCGTGAGCCATGGCCGCTGAGCCTGCGCGTCCGGAGCCTGTGCTCCACAACGGGAGAGGCCACAGCAGTGAGAGGCCCGTGTACCGCAAAAAATAAATAAATAAAAATTTAAAATAACTCATTTATAAGAAAATCAAGGGTCAAAATATTTCATAATTCTTTTCCAGAGAAAATTATATATGGAAAAAAACGCATGCTATCTGATTACTCTTAATCTAGATTCCCAGAAAGTAGGGTCATACAAATATCTGTTGGTCACAGATTTTTTTTTTTTTTTTTTTTTGGTCTATATCATAAATAGAAAAAAGACTTTTTGAGGACCTAAAATTCATATTCCGAAGCATGGTATGGAATGGAAGAACCTTGAACTTTAGTGTAGCTCATGATAATCAGTGATATTTATTAAAAATAGAGGTGGGATAAATAGGTGGAGCACAGAGGATTTTTAAGACAGTGAAACTATTCTCCATGATACTACAAATGATAGATACATGTCATTACACATTCGTCTAAACCCATAGAATGTACAACAGCAAGAGGGAACCCTAATGTAAACTGTGGATTTGGGTGATAATGATGTGTCAATGTAGGCTCATCTATTAACAAATATACTACTCTGATGGGGGATGCCAATAATGGGGAAGGCTACCCATTTGTTGGGGCAATAGGTATGTGGGAAATCTCTATACTCTCCACTCAATTTTTCTGTGAACCTAGAACTGCTTTTAAAAGTAGTCTATTAAAAAGAAGATAGAAGTGCTATGGCTCCCTTTCAGAAATTCTGATCAGTGTTCAGGGTGCCCTATGTTTAGCAAGCTCCTAAGGTGATTCTGATGCACTCTAGTGGTGAGAACCACTGGTCTAGAATCCAGTCTCACCAAACCTCTGCTTTACAGAGCCCAGGACACACTAAGTAGGGTTGGCTCACAGCATTCTCCAAATCAAAGATGTCTAATATTTAGTCTGTGCTGATCCAGAATAAGTCTAGTTCCTTGGAAGTCTTCCTAAAAGAGGGAAATCTCAATTGCAGGACCCAACATACTTGTCACCTGGAAATTGATGTCACTTCTGGCACTGGACTAAACCACCTTGAGGTCAGAAGCTGGTATAATCATTCTGATTGTGTTGACCTACGGAAGAATGTATCTTTTTAAATGCAGTCTTAGTTACACATGGATCTGAATAGGAAGTAGCTAAGAAAACTAAGAACAGCATCTGTAGAGGCATAAAATACCCTCAAATCCTAAAACATTGTGAGACAAAGGTAAGTAAAGATAGAAAATAGTTTTATAAATCATTTCTAATGAAAAAAGTCCTTGAAATCCTATGATGATTGCAAAACGGCAGTTCCTGTAACGTTTGTGGCAAAGGCCAACATGTTTTGAAAATATTTCTTAATTGTTCATGAATACCCTTAAGCAATTTCGTGGTCCACAATAGCCATTGAGCCTGAAACTGAATAGCAGATTTAAGGAAGACCCTCATTACCCCATTCATTGTATTACTTATATGACTCAGCCATGCGATGGTTTTAAGACTATTGAGTTAAAACAGAGAAAACAGTACTTAAGAGAACTTTGTTGATGGTCGATTTAGACAGATGGCAGGCAGTTTCCAGAGCTTTTGTGCTTTCTTTAAATGAATAATACTTTTTTAAAAAAAAACTGAAAAGAAAGGTGGTTAATTTTTCACCATACCAATGATTTATTATTAATCTAAATTTGTCACCTAGTAGCTTTATACAAAGGGCTGGTTAAAATTACAAAATACCAGATAATCTATGCCCACCTCTATAACATAATCATAATGATGGTCACTGAGGTAGTTAATTTACTGTATTATTGTTTCAGAATCAATTTGTTGCCATTTAAGTGTAGTGTGTTGGTCTTTTTTTCTTGGTGGTTCTATCACTTCTCTGACTTTTGCCAGGGCCACTCTTCAGATCATGGGTATGCCTACAAAAATGATTTTTTAGAAATGTTTACCAGGTAAATACCTAACATATATCCATGAAACTTACCTGATTTCTATATACATAATACTCTGAATTTTCATTTTTTTGGAAAAGGATTGAAATCCGAATTCATAAAATCCTAATTTCTTACTTGCCCATTATATAGATACATTTGTAATTTACTAGAGAATTATTTTGGTACTTAATTCATATAAAAGAGTCTAAAATATAAAGCTTTTTCATCAACAGGTCTCTATGAAGGGCTATTTCTTCTTCTTTCTAATAATTGAGCATTATTATTGCTAAAATATTTTTATGAATTACAACATGAGAGTTTGTGAAGAGAAGCATTTCTCCTGTTTATAGACTATTCTGTTTCACTCTTTTTCTTCTTTTTTTTTTTTTAAGTGGACTGAATCATCGAGAAGAAAGAACTTAACAAATTCCCTTGAACAAAAGATAAGGTGCCTGGAAAAACAGAGAAAAGAGGTAATTTTGAAATATTAGTTGAAGCAACATGTGCCATGGATTAATGCTGAGAATAAAATAGGCATCTAGTGCCTTTTATTTTTGTTAATGGGTCACAGTATTTATCTTAAGGATACTGAACTGCATTATTTTGAGAGAAAATACTTCTTTCTTATTCACCTACATATCTCTTACTCGGTCTCTCAATGCTTGTGCAAATGAATAAAAATGACAAAGCCATAAATCCAATAATTATAGTCTTAATTTTTTCAAAACTTAGACATTTCCTCCACATGGGCTAGGTGAGCTTATCATCTGTGCCCTTTCTGCTTGGCACTTGACACACCTTGAAACTCAAACTGTCAGAGGCTTTATTGTATCATTGATTAGGTGCTATGACTTCATGAGTTGGGCATCTGACCAACAGGGGTTAAGGAGCTTTATCATAAAAGAAATTTGTTTTAAAATGTCATTGGGAATGTGATGGATATTATTTTGAGTTCCGTTTTTCTGAGTTTAATGAATATTAAAACCTCTTTATTCTCCTTGACAGATAAAGAGGTAAAAAGTTAACAATTTTGGCACTCTGTTGTCAATTTTGTAATTCCTTTTCGAAATCATTTTCTATGCTACAGCCTTCATGTTTTCTTCTATGGTTTCCTCTACCCTTCTTTGATACTGCATAAAATAGTGTGCCCTTCTGGAAAATTACTGAACTATAGGAGAGTAACGTTACCATAGCATAGAAATGTTAGTCCCTAAAATAACAACAGATCAGGGATCTTTACATAATAATATTATATAGTCTTATACTAAATAGTCATATCTATTTCCAGCATAAGAGTTACCTAGCAACTGCCACTCTGGATTAGATATTTTGTTTTGTAATTAAGAGAAAGTCTTGCTACATTTTAGTCATTGTGACAGTCTTCTCCATGTCTGTCCCATATTTATAGGTGTTGGAATTTCTCTTAATGTGGAAAGTTGTAGACTTCCCTTACAAGAAAACTGAAAACAGGTCTTGGTGTTTTTTCTTTCATCTATTTGGCATATAGTTTTAAAACTTTCAAATTGTTAAATTGTTTCTAAATATTGTCTTATGACAAAAACTATTTTTCCCTGAAAAACCTATGCTTCCAAAAAGGTGATATTATCCATTAGCTGAGTATATAATACAAATCATGTACTGATTTTTTTTTAAAAAGCACAGTATTGCAAGCAAATGATTATCAGTTAATTGAACTTGGAATTTTTTTTTTTTTTTTTTTTTTTTTGGGGGGAAAAAAAGCCTCTCACTGTTGTGGCCTCTTCCGTTGCGGAGCACAGGCTCCAGACGCACAGGCTCAGCAGCCATGGCTCATGGGCCCAGCTGCTCCGCGGCATGTGGGATCTTCCCAGACTGGGGCATGAACCCATGTCCCCTGCATCGGCAGGCGGACTCTCAACCACTGCGCCACCAGGGAATCCTGAATTTGGAATTTTAAATATAAATTCTGCCTTTAAAAAGCTAGAAGAAATATTTCATTTTAATAATCAATGTAAGCACATAAAAAATATGGAAAGGTTTGAAAAAAGGCCCTTCAAATATTAATAAATCTTACATAAAACCATTAACTTACAATTTTTATCAGATTCTGATTAGATTAAACAAGAAGATGAAAATTCAAATAAGCAAAGTTAGAAGTTGCTAATAAACTGTTCAACTGACTAGTCAAGATATACCTAAGGCTTAATAGTTTTTCATATGTGAACCAGTTATGAAAGGCGAATGTGTTCAATTAACTTATCCGAGGTCTACCAGAACTTGGTGGAAGGAATACTGTCTTCACCCATGGCTTCCAAAACCTTAGTAGCCTCGAAAAGTGATTTCATTTTGGCTAAATTTCCAAATGGGCAAAATCATTTGTTGCTTTACCAAACTTTAATAATTTCAGCTCCTGGAAGTTAACCAGCAATGGGATCAGCAATTTAGAAGCATGAAAGAGTTATATGAAAGAAAGGTAAACACCTCTCTGTTTGGCATTTGCTTTAAATCGGTAATCTGGGGGAGACAAGTATGTGAAGATTCTCATTGATTTCAACTACAGGAGATTTGTGGGTAGTCAGCTGTCTGTTGTAAAATGATGAAGGGGAGGGTGCTGAGTGCATTACTGGCCTCTTGGTACTGAAGATTAATGAACGAAGGAACGTGTCAGTGAATTGTCTTAAGCATGGCAAAAGAAAGGTACTAAATATAGCCCCCAGTGCCGTCTCTAGAGTTCTTGCCCACATTTATCATAGCTCACACAGTATCCTGGCCTCGGCTTTGTTACTAGCAGCCATAAAAACACAAGGTTATATGTGAGGTGAGAAATGGCTTAAAGTTCATACTTTTTTGTGCAAGGCTACTTCTCTAATTCTTTATAGCATAAGCTGTTTTCCACAGAAAAAGAGACAAGCAGTGTTAACAGCGAAAGTGTGAGAGGAAGTGGGGAATCCTTCCCTCCAAAGCATGTTCTCTGTCAAGAAACTTTTGCTTTGGTGAGAAAGAATTTTTTTTGGAGGAAATATATTTTAAAGGGTAAAAGTCAGTTTATAATTTAAAACCATTCCATGTTCTAAAAGAGAGGAAAGAGAAGGTAAACTCCCCAAAATAATTCAGAATCAAGAAACTGGACCACAAGTGAGAAATACATTAGTATTGCTCTTTTCTTCCTCATTTTGATACTCAGAGTATTAAATTTGGAAAGAGCAGGATAACGTTTCACTACACCAGGCCATGGTCAAGCCACCTTATAATATTCGGTCTGGACAGCTTTGGGATCTCCAAATTTTAAAGCACATGATCCCAGAGAAAATTGTTTAAGCTGCCTTCCTGAACGGCTTGCAGCTGCATGAAGACCCAGGGTTAACAATGGTCACAGTTCCCATCTTTGATGAAGTGCCTGTCCCTAAGGCTTTTCTCACCCGACCCTTGTCACTCAGACGACTAATTTGGCATTTAGTAGCAGGTCAAATGCTGCAGGTTACTGATGAGTTAAAGGTCATGTCTGTTTTTCGGCAAGGTAGGTATATTCACTTATCCCCTATCCTTCGCTGTCCTTTTCAGATCAGATGAGGCACACCTTGCAAGCTGAGAATAGAATGACAAGCCTAGAAGGCTCCCTTAAGGCCTACGGGTTTATTTCCTCGAAAGTGGTGTGGTCTAGAGAAAGGAGGCTGGAGGCCGTTTTGGTGTTTGCTTTTTTCCCTTGTAGAGGAAACTTCTTTTTAAAAGCAAAAGACCCGATCTTGGTTTGGGGCGGTGGGAAGAAGAGCCACTGCCTAGGGGATGCCCAAGACTGAGCCAGTTCTGTCCCCAGGTGCTTAGGCTGGGAATAAATCCAGGGGGTTGTGGGCTTCAGGCGAGGTGTCTGCAGCTGTCTGTGAACCACTTCTACAGGTCGCAGAGCTGAAAACGAAACTGGACACCGCAGAAAGCTTCCTAGGCACGCTGGAGAAGGAGCTGCCGCAGAGCCAGAGGGAGAGCGACCTGCAGCAGCGCGAGGAGGTGGGCGGGGCTCGGGGAGCGACCTCCCTGCCCCCAGGAGCGCGCGGTAGGGGGGAGGGGGGCCCCTGCCTCCAGACGGTTGAGAACCAACCGTTTATTCAAATCAACCCTCTGCAGAGCGGCGACCGATGGACAAGGGTGCACGGGTTACGCAAGTCCCCAGAGCCAAAAATAGGGGCCACTTCTCTAGAATCAGAAGGCGGGAGGTGCCGGCTCACTTCCTTCTTTGTCGCGCAAACAGGCAGACCTTAATTTGCCCGGCTCCACCCGCGGGCAGAACTGAGCCAGGGCTTTGGGGTATCTTTCTCATACGTTGCAGCCTAGGAGAAAATTCATTTTGCGTTTTTGCTTTTACTCATACTAATCATTTGTATTACCAGTGTTGATAATATGACAATTCCTTGTATTTGTACAGCTGCTTTTCAGCTTACAGAGAGCTTTACAAATAAGTATTACTTTTGTCATCTTAAAAATATAACATTTTTGAAAAGTATCTCGCCCTCATCGTCTCATTTAACATCCTCAGCCCATCTGTGAGGAAACTTATTTTTGCCGTTTTAGAGATGAAAAGGCTGAGACGTAGGGCTTAGATGACTTAATGTCAGTAATGTAGCACATGGAAAAATGGGACTTGAGCCCAGTCTCCAGACTGGAAAGCCCCTTTAATCCTCCTGAGAACTAGAAGGTTGCCATTGAGGTGATGGCCTCTCTTAAAATAGACTCCCGGGGGCTTCCCTGGTGGCGCAGTGGTTGGGAGTCCGCCTGCCGATGCAGGGGATGCGGGTTCGTGCCCCGGTCTGGGAGGATCCCACGTGCCGCGGAGGGGCTGGGCCCGTGAGCCATGGCCGCTGAGCCTGCGCGTCCGGAGTCTGTGCTCCGCAACGGGAGAGGCCACAGCAGTGAGAGGCCCGCATACAGCAAAAAAAAAAAAAAAAAAGACTCCCGGTTTTACTTTTAGTTATGGGACTACATGGATTTGAATAAAATAGGAGGAGGCCCTTGAGCTCTAATGGCCTCTCATTTTTTTCAGGCATGTCAGGAAGGAACGAGAAGGGTAGATTTTCTCAGGTGAAGTCTTGTGACTAATATTGTGATGCAGCAGCTGTATTTTAAAACGTGCACAAATCTTAAGGCAATGTCACAAATCAGTGCAGACATCATCGGTTCAGGTTCCCTTCCTTGCTTAGCAACTCCCTTTCTGCCATGTAAGAGTCCCTTTCGGATCCATTTACATGCAGCACAGGAATCATGGTAATTTCTTCCCTATGCAGTTGGGACCATTTTCTTGTGGAAATAATTTTCTCTTAAACTATGCTAAGTTTGAAAAAGATTGGTAAATTTTCTGTGGACACATGGACCTATTCTGTTTAAACAAAGGCAAAGAGAAGTGTTTTCACTTTTAAAGAAAACGACTCACCTAAAGTAGATTTCTTTAATCATTGTGATGGGAAATATTAGCTATTAAAATAATATACTTTAACATATATCTTAGCTATTTCCTCACCTTGATTTACCTAAATTCCAGAATGTTTATTTTACTGGGTTAAAACTGCAGTCTCATTAAAAATTCAATTCACTCCACAAAAAGTTTACTGTCCAGAATATAAAATTAAGAGATAGGAGGCAGATGTTGTCTGAATCCAGAGCCTGTTATTGTCTAAGCCACCGACCTTGCTTCAGTTACTTAAAACACTGGATTCCTTGAAGGTGATCTGAAAAGTGGAGGAGTAATGGCAGTTGGACTAGTTCATCTCTACCTTTTAAAAGTAATCATCAGAACAATACAGTGCTCTGAATAATTATCTGTGGTGAAATGTCTTATTGCCTGAGGTTTTATCTTTTATCCTCTTCTTTTTCTCTCACCAGTCCTGAATGATGCAGGATTGGGCTTTGAGATATTTGGTATTTTTTGTTGCAATGACACTTTGCATATTAGAACTTTCAGTTATTTTTAGTGAGTCACTCTTTCATCACCTTGTAAGAGTGCATAGCAAGTAGCTTTTTCTGCAGACCCATTTGACCCTTGAAAGTGAGGAGTGGGGATTTTGATAGCTTGTTCTGGGGTCACAAAACTTAGTAGCAGTAAGGATAACATAAAGATTTCTTCTATCCTAATCCTAACCTCCACCCAGAGATTATTGCTCAAATGGAATGTTAAGTGAAAATCTAGCGGGTCCTGTCTTTTGTTTGTTTGTTTGTTTGTTTATTTCAGAAGTATTCCTACAATATCATCTCATCTGAATTTTATTGATTTTGAATTTGTTTTCTTGCTTTCTACTTCAGAAGGAAAAGGAGAGCCTAAATGAAGAATTACATGAATTGAAGAGAGAGAATAAGCTTTTGAAGGAAAAAAATGCTCTCGCAAACCAGAAGAAGCAACATTTTGAATGTGAAATAAAACGCCTCAATAAGGTATCAGGCCAGGTGAAGCTGGAGAGACCAAATGAGAGGTTTCTGTATAAAGAGCACTTTCTGGGCTGAGGCTCACAGCAAAATCCACACTGCAGTGCAGCTCGGTCTCGGGGGCTTGCACGGAGGTCTCTGTCATTGCATAAATCACTCCTACCTGCTTCGTTCAGCCATACTTGGCTAAGAATTTTTTTGGGAATTCATGTCTCTGCAAAGAATTGTCATTAAAGAAAGAGATAAGGAGAAAGTATAGAAGAGAGTAAGAACTTTTTTTTTGGTAGTTCAAAGAACCACATAAAGCAAGTGGGTGTTTGCGAATAGTAGCGTTATCTCTTGGTCAACCGCAAAAGTTTCCTGAGGAAAACAGGCTGCTCTTTAAAATCATCACTGTGGAGCTGCTGAGTGTAATACAGACTATATGGAAGCAAGCTAAATGCCAAATCCAAAAATGAGATGGTGGCCTTCCTGAGAATAAGCCTAAAACTCACCTTTAATGGGGGTTTGGGGAGTAGTGTGTAGGTCTATTAAGAAAATGCTGGTGATTTAATGCCTTTGCTCCAACAACTATTCAAAGGAGCTACCTGTGAATTGCTGCAAAAGGACAACATGTAAGTGTGTGTGTGTGTGTGTGTGTGTGTGTGTGTGTGTGTGTGTGTGTGTGTTGTTTTAATGGACTAAACCTTAATTTTCTTTGGGGGAGGGATTGCTGACTTGTTCAGGGAAAAAAATTAAATCCTTTGCTGTTGACTTTTCCAAGAGCCACATCGTATGTGGAGCATAGTAATACTTAGTAGTAATACCTGTAGTACATGGTTGAGTTGAGATAGTCATCTCTCAAGCTAGATATTTCTTGACCAAAGTAACAGAAATTATCTTCTAAAAAAAGAGTAGGTGGTTGACTGGCCTTAAACACGTGCTCAGTGCTTGCCTTTGGGACCGTGTTCCATCTTGTAGTTAAGTAGTGTTCAGAGGTGTAACTTAAATATCCCCAAAGTGTTAACTATGTGCCTGTATGGTTGATAGGGTGCTTTACAAATGTGATGCTATGTTTGATCTGTTTATGGGGCAAGTTATTATTCAGGAGAAAATGAGAAATTGGAGATTGACTTCGTAAACAATGTACTTCTCTGTCGTTTAAGAGAGAAAAACAATGTTCAGAGATACAAATTCAGAGCAAATGAATTTTCTGTCTTAATCACTGCTGGAAATCCTTCGCAAATGAATTAGAGGAACTGACATTAATTGAGATTATATTTGAAATCTCTCACATTTTTGATATGTTATTACTTATCAGTTTTCTTCTGTTCTCTATTTCTATAAATGTAGGCACAAGGATATAAAGCCTGTAGAAATTAAAACAGCCAAGAACTCTGTTTTTTACTCAAACCCGTGTATAACCTTCATTTTTGTGTAGCTGTGTTTGTAGAAAATTTTTTTGAATTAGTAAACACTTTAAAACTCATGATTATAATCCTAAAATCTCAATGAGAAAAATTAATTTGAGTAAAATTCAGAGCTTGTCATCGTCTCAAAGAGGATTTTTCTGGTTATCTTAATTAAAATTACATACTCCACTTCTAATATTTCCTGTTTTAATATTTCCTTGGAATTCATTGCATTCTAGTATATGCATAATGTCTCATATTTATTATCTTAATTGTTTCCTGTCTCCCAGTCTTGATTGTAAGCTCCATGTGGGCAGGATATTTGCAGGGCAGATTTCTCTCCTAGGCAAGGTGGACACGGTATTGAGGGCCCACAATACTTATAGTGGCCCATTAATATGCTTAATCTCTCTTAAAGTCAGAGGAAAAAAACTAAAGTATGAGGTTGAAAATATATTTTCATATTAATATTAACATATTCATCTTTGTAAGAATGCAATTATAATATATAATTTCACTACGTATTTATTTGGAGGAAGGGACTCACAAAGACAACAGTCATAATGGGGCCCTGAGTTTCTCTATTTTGTTCACTGCTACATTCCACGTGCCTAGAATAGGGCCTTGCTCATAGTATGTTCTTAAATATTTGTTGACTAGATGAATGGTTGAATTAACTAATTAATGTAATTTGCTAGTACATAATATGTTCAGTAGCCAATTTTGGCCCTGAGATTCATGTTTTAATAGGCGTAACACATTACTTATGAGTAGTAAGAAGAAATAAAAGGTACTTCAAGCCAGAAAAGATTTCATCTCACACATCTATACCTTCAACTGTCACTTTAAAAACATAGATAGAAAGTGATAAGCTATAAAGAGATTTCTTTTTCTCATTTTTTCTCATTTAGTGCAGAGAGATTTTTTTCTCATTTAGGTTTTTTCTCATTTAGTATTAGTGTCTAATGAAATGTAAGAAATTATTATTTTACAGTATAGATTTTTCTTCTGTTCTCTTTTACCACTGTAATAAATAGAAGTTACTCAGAATGATGATTTGGGTAGCTAATTGTGTGCACCATTCATTACAGCATGGAAATTTGGGGTCTACCCTGCTTGCACAAACCCACTGCCTGCTGACCCGGTCTCAGCAGAAATTGGTAGCATGTCACTTAGCAATTAACGTGTGGTTTTCAGAAGTCCACACAACTATGTGTACTGAATTTTACTTACTTGCTTTGAGGGAGATACCTAAGGGCATTGTTTTCATCAGGTTCTTGACAGAGAATCCAGATGTTTGATCAAAGTGAGAGAAATTACCTGAGGCTAGTCAACCAGGGCCACCCATGGGCAATATTGATGTGTCTGACATCTTGCCATTGTGAGATGGGTAGATCTGTTTAGTATATCTGTGCTTATGGTAAACTGCTGCTCTAGAGTAGGTGTTTACAGGTGTTTGTTCAAGGAAGTTGGAAAACCCCAAGATGGAATAAATGTCTACTAGACTCGCCTTTCGTTTATGACTCATTTGCAAAATTTCTAGAAGTCTGAATAGCATGAAAGGTAGATCAGAAAATTCAAATATTACAAGACCTACAAAAGTAGTCTATTCATAGCTGTAGGATATAGAACCAGCATATTTGATTATCTTGACTCACTTGGCTCACCCCACCCTAGATTCTATTACTAGTGACACATGTTTTAAAAATATAACTATTATGATAATTCCTAGAACTATGTAGCTTAGCAATAAATTCTAACAAAACATAAATTATTAAGCAACTTCTGTTGTCTAATAATTCTTGGAGGAAGAAAAAAGTTCTTGTTTTTCTTACAACTTCCTGAAAAATGATATTTACATCAGGCTAGACTATAAGACATTCTATTAGGAAATTTCTAATCTTAACTATGCATATTTAAGACCTTAAATTTGCTTTTCTTTTCTATCCTTATGACCATATTGTATAGTAATGCAGGGAGGTGAGTTACTAATAGAATCATCAAATGAACACCATCGAAGCTACTAAAGAAATACAGAGGCAGTAAAGTCTTGGAGCTTTGGAATTGAACCTTTTCTGTTTGTACAGAGGACTCATTTGATAATGAGCAAGTAGTCATATTGTGTGTGGGCTCTGAGACCACAACAGGATGAGGTATGTTCTGTCACAATTTTTGGTGGCCGTTTTATTTAACTCATCATGAGCCCAAAGTCTTCAGAATAGAGACAATGTCTTTCATATAATCTGAAAAAGTATAGTATATGTAAGAGTGCCGTGGAATTATGAGTAAGGATGATGATCTGGTTGGCAAATCTCAGTGTCTCTTATTTGCTTCACCTCCTCACCCCACGGTGAAAACACCAAGTTGTACTGCATGTCAAGAAAGCAGAGCACTCTCTCCACCCTCTAGTGGGTTAATGGGTGTTTTACTGGAGACTAAATTTGACTGTGTCTAGGCCAAGGCATGTTATGCTGAAGGAGTACAGAGCAGAACTGTAGAACAATGAATAATGAATCTGCCTGGGTTCCCATTTATGTGAGTTTCCCTCTCTCCTGGAAGGGACATGGTTATACAGCAGAAATATATTATTCACAATGTCATCTGATGGGGATATATGTATATGTATAGCTGATTCACTTTGTTATAAGCAGAAACTAACACACCATTGTAAAGCAGTTATGCTTCAATGAAGATATTTCTTTAAAAAATGTCATCTGAGAGCAGAAACGGCAGCTTTTGAGGAATGCAGATTCTCAGGCCCTGCTTCCAGATATAATGATTCAGGATCCTTGGAGGCAATGCCCAGGCATGGGCATGTTTGCTACCTCTCCAGGTGATTCTGATGCTCCCTGAAGTTTGAGCCTTATTGATGGAGCATATATTTGACTGAAGCAGACTCTAGAGAAAGGCTATGTATCTGTTTTCCACTCATGGTTGGCTAGGTGGAAGGAGCTCTAACACCAAAGCCTTCTCAAGTAACAATGAGAGTTGAATAACATAAGCACCATCATGGAGAAAAGACGGAGATTCTGAAAAAAAAAGCATATATGAAGAAAGTTACTCAGTGATGAAAGTAGCATTAAAAATGAAATTCTACCTTATGAGTGCATTTGAGATGACTGTAAGTATTGTAGAGAAATTCATGTGATGTGGCAACTCTCAGGTCAACAGTGTGCTTATCTTATAACACAGGCTCTTCAGGATGCCTTGAAAATGGAGTGTTCTTCATCTCCTGAGGATTGTTTGAGGAAGTCTGAAATGGAGTGCAGCCATGAGGAGATGAGAACAGAAATGGAAGTTCTCAAACAGCAGGTGAGAAGTTGAAAGTGGAGCGGTCATGTGGAGAACTTAGGGCCCATTGTTCATGCTGCTTTAGCCATCTCTGGGAGTCCTCCTATTCAAAACATGTCAAAGGTTTTTGCATGTATTTTAATTAGAATTACCTAATTTTAAAGCTTTATGGGAAAATATAGATCAGCTAGTCCAACTCTAGAGAAAAAAAGAGAAAAAAAAAAAGAGAAAATTGAGTTTCAGATGGATTAAGTGGCTCGCCCAAGATTATACACTTAAAAAGGGGGCATGCTAATTAACCTTTTAGTGAAATTCTATTAGCACTGGGTTTAGAGGGTTTCATGTAGACATGATTTATTTTGAAGACACTATTAACCCAAACTCTGGACCTTTTCAGAAAATGGTAGTAGCCGGGCTATTATTCTGTAGCTGCAGGCCTCTGGGTTTTTGAACAATGAGGGCAGATTTAAAGGGAATACTGTGCACTGGTCATAGTCACTGAAGAGCCGGGTCTGTTATCTATCCCTGCATACAGATGGCACCACCTAGGAATTTACTGATGTACAATGGTTTCCTCCTCCTAACTCACCCAACTTCACTCACTGTTTCCAAGTGCACAGCAAGAGTAAAGGATGCTCTCTCTAAGCTTCTGCATGCACCAGCAACACGGGGCTGTGGGGATATAGCACTGCCTAAACTACTTGAGTCTAATTTTAGTTCAGCCAGCTGGAGCTGGCTTAGCTGAGGAGCCACCCATGCATATCACATCTCTTTTCCTGTAAGAGGTTAAATAAACTAATATAAGCAAAGGGCTGGAACAGTTCAAAGTGATATTGATAAGTACAGGAAATATAGGAATTCTAATCCCAGAAGCACACATTGTCAGTAATATGTTAGCAATGGCAGGGGCAGGGGATAGGGTGACATAGAACAAAGAGCCGGGAAGTATTATTTTCTGATGCCCCTGGGTATGACTTGTTGGCTGTTTTGCTCTGAGCAAGTGCCAATTACAAGGATTCCTGATGCAATACAGGGAAGAATAGAGCAATTGTGATATTGTTGTTGTTGTTTACTTTATTGTTATTGCTTCATAGGAAGTAACGTATCTAGAAATCTAAAAAATTCAGAGCATTTGACATAAAGTTGGATTTTCTCTTCTATCAACTCAGTTTGAAATAATCTGCTTCATTACATTCAGGATCAAATATAGAGCTTGAAAATAGACCCATGGAAAGAATAAGCGTATAATCAGAGTGTTAAAACTGCCAAATTCTCAGCCCCTAAAGTACCACTGGCGCTAGCCAGGATTCCTCTGAAAAAGGTACTGCTTACGTTCAGACACCTGAGTCATCTTCAGTGCTCCCATACAATGTACACCACATGTGAGAGAGCTGCTCTTACACGTGTTTACAGTAAAGGTTTAATTCGTATTTGATACAGACAATGGCAGGTATTCTTCTCATAAACCCCAAGAGTAGACTAGAATCCATCTCCTTCGTTTCTGTATGGCCCTTTTGCTAGCTTTCGGCATTCACATTTTAACTGTGCACATTTCTAACTGGGTACCCACAATCATTACATCACCAAGTGTTGCGTGAAACCCTAAAGGACTTAAATTCACAAAGAAACTGAGCTCGAATCTTGGCCATCTAAGTGATGAAATCGCTATCAGTGTTGTGTTTGATAAAGAGTGTCCATCTGTTCTAATCAGATGGACTTCTCCCACTTCAGATGCCTCTGGTAATTATTTACAGAGCATTGGTTTAACTGTGTCTGGATTTGAACCTCAGCTCTCAACCAAAAAAAAAAAAAAACACCCCAAAACAAAATATCAGCTTGGCTGGGTATAGTTCCCTTGCAACCTTCTGGTGAATAAAGCCTTGAAATTAAATATGTATATCTGCATCTAGATCCATGTAAAATGTTTAATTCCCCCTCCCTGGCTTGCCTATTACATTTTGTTCTATTATTATTGACTTAAAATTGATAATCCTTTAGTTGAAATTTGTTGCACTGTTGCTGATGGTGGTGCAATGTGCATTAACTTTAATAGACAAAATCTAGCTACTAGGTTCCCATGTAAGTTGTAGTTTAAATCTGGTTTTAGAGGAAATCCTTTGCTTCATTTCTTAAGCTTCATTTGTTTTCATAACTCCACATTCTAGCCTCCAAGCCATCAGCCAACACTACGCCAATTAAAACAACAATAATTAAATCTGTTTTGGGGGGGTTTGTTTTGATTACTTTTCTGGAATATTTGGAGTACCTCTTGAGAGGCATTCCACTAGAATGTTGCTCTTTTTTATTATATACTCCCACAATTACTTATAAAGGCCAACTCTGGTGAATATCTTTCAATAAACATGCTTTGATCTCCCACATACATGAACCTTTCATTTCTATCTTGTGCTAAACTTATAATTTATATTTAGAAACTTTGGCATGTCAGTATTTAGTGGCTTCACTTAGCACCTGTTGTCAGTAAACTGTCTTTCGGAACTTCAAGCAATATTTATACATCAAAGCCTTGTTTTAGAGATGGATGATTTGCTCCAAAACAGTGAAACTTAACATTGATGGGGTGGGAGGAGCAAGGCTTCATCACAACAATGGAATATGCAATAAAAAATCGGGGAGGGGAATTATTTTCAAAATATCCATGTTATTACTTATGAATTTCTGATATGTGCTCAAGGAGAAAAAAGTTGAGAACTGCCATCATAAACAAAGTGAAAGGTAAAATTATAGTCATATGTATCAAATAGAGCCCCACCATAAAGAAATATTCATGAAAAGAGGACGGGAATGTCTCAGATTGGACAAACCCAGATAGCACCTCTCCGGAACTCATTTAAATGGCTTAAGAGAAAAGGAAGCTATCAGTAACAGTAAGTTAATATTTCCTAGGTGCAAATATACGAAGAAGACTTCAAAAAGGAGCGATCAGACCGAGAAAGACTTAATCGAGAAAAAGAGGAGCTACAGCAAATCAATCAAACTTCTCAAACCCAGTTGAACAGGCTGAATTCTCAGGTATAAGTCCAATAATCTTTGCCAGCACTTATGTATTTTATTTTTATTTTCTCATTTAAGAATCTAGACATTTTGGCTTCTGTTAATTGCCATTGGATTTTTTTTTTTTTTTGAGAGATTAGCACCTGGGATGAAATCATTCTTAAACAATCTTGTAAAGAGATGAAAATGACTAGAGATTTCTTTCATCTTAAGTATATTAAGGAGTTTTCCAAGAAATTGGATTCCAAAGTCTTTTATAAAATCCAATTCTTTTGATCTTTTTCTCATAATATTTATCTTGGTAGAATGGGAGTTGGAACTACCTAGCACTCAAATTCAAAGCCAAAACACTCTAGTACAGTGAAGTTGTTTCTAAATTCTTATCATTTTCTTTGAAGGGCTATGTTGGAATGTTCCTGTCTTCTAAAAACATACATACTAAATGTCATTTATATACCTAGTGAAAGCAAGAATTTTGTTCAGTGGGTTCCCAGATTTAAAGTAACTGGAAGTAAAGTAACTCAAGGAAGCCAGATAATGTTAGCCACTTTATTAAAATAGAATATTAAATGTAAGTATATTAAAATTAGGTGCAACAGAATTTATTAAACATAGACTCGGGAAGTGGCCATGATGGGTAAATATTGATGTTAATGAGGGAAATGTAGCTAACACAAATTTGGCTTAAGAAAAAACAATGAACCATGAAATTTTTAATTTGCAAAATTATGCAGTGTTTTTCAATAAATAAGGACTTGTTGTGGGACAGGCTGTGACAGCTCTGTAGCTTCAAGATTCTTAGTCTTAGAAGAGATTTTAAACTCTTTGTCATCGCCTTCTTCCTAATACAAAGTAGATTGTGAGTTAAATTTAGTTTCTTCTTTGACATCTTTTTTAAGGATTAACTTTAAATTCTTAGTTTTACATGGAGAATTATTTGGCAGAACCATTTCCTTTCTAAGAAACTGGAAGGAATGAAATAACGGTAAAAATATAATACAATGCTTTTTCTGAAAATAATTCATGCAGCATACTTATACAACAGTGGGTGAGAAAATGTTCTGATCATTCTTGGTGAGAAAATCACTGTCTCAATTTGTATGCCTTACATGCAAAGCTGCCTTAATTTTTTTGAAGTTGTCACTGCACAAATCATTTTACTTCCTGCCGTATTTTAATTTTATTCATTCTACTACATTAAATGCAGATTGATGATAAATATTTGTCTAGACGGGCAATGTTCTTGCCTTTATAAAAGCTGTAGTACAGCCAGAAACACACAACCAGATACTTACATTATAGACTATAATTCACAGTAATTTTCATTCCCGTGTCATCTGTCAATTTTGATTGATATCAAAAAAAAATGTATTGTCTAATTACAGTACAGTATAACTGCTTATGAACTAGGGGAGGATCCTAGTGATATGCTAAAACTATCAAAATTTTCTTTATAATGATAATCCAAGCATTTATTCTTCAAAAGTCTCATTTACTCAGGTGAAAGGAAGACAGAATTCACCAGAGGTAATAGATGGTTTAACAATCTATGTTAAATGTATTAACAGCAGATTAAATGCCATGATAGAATAGGCATTACCTTATTTGATTAGCATATTACCAGTGGTCAAAACGGACCACTTGACCAAAGGAATTTTTAGGTCAAATCGATCTGCCACTAGTTGCTTACATACCAGAGTTTATTCTTCCTATCACGAAGGACATTTTAAAGCAATGACTGGTAAAACAGTGTGGTGAAGTGAAAGATACTTAGGAGATTATTTAAGGATAAAAGCCCAATGTTCATGCCTGCTTTGACAATCAGTGAGGACCTTGAACAAATATTCAACCTTTCTGTGCTTTCTTTTCTTCATCTGTAAAATGACAGAGTTGGAGTAGATGATCTCTAAAATGTTTCTTATAACTCTAAAACCTCTGTCTCTAAAAATAAGTTGCTTAAGCTCTCTTAGCATTCTCACCTGTAAAATATAGATAATGATACCTACCTCATGACTTCACAAAGTTGTTCTCAGGGTTAAGTGAAAAAAATCTATGCAGAAACATCTAGTTCAAGTAATGGCTCACAGGTATTTCATAAATAATCTGTTGGAAGGGAGAATTTTTAATAGTTTCATTTAGTTGTATAATTAGCCTGCCACATTCAGTGCCTCGTAATCTAATTTTGATGCTTTCTTTCTGCAAGGCATTCTGCTACATGCTGTGAGGGAACTAAAAAATGATCCATTCTATTAAAAGACTCACAAGATAATGAGGGGGACATATATAGTCTGTCCTCATCATTTTTGCAGATTCCATTTTTGTGAATTTGCCTACTCACTAAAATATATTTGTCACCCCAAAATCAATTCTTGTGCCACCTTTAAGGTCATTTGTGAACTTGTGCAGAGCAGCAAAATACTTGAGCTTCCTGACACACTTGTTCCCAGTGGAGGTCCAACAGGTGATGCTGTCTTCTTCTTTCAGACCTCTGTAAAAAGTGTCCTTTTCATGGTCTATATAGTGCCACATTTTTCACATATTTGTGGGTTTTCGTGGTGATTTTACTTTTTTTTAATAAATTTATTCTGTTTTATTTTTGGCTGCGTTGGGTCTTCGTTGCTACATGCGGGCTTTCTCTAGTTGTGGCGAGCGGGGGCTACTCTTCGGTGTGGTGCGCGGGCTTCTCATTGTGGTGGCTTCTCTTGTTGCGGAGCATGTGCTCTAGAGCGCAGGCTCAGTAGTTGTGGCCCACGGGCTTAGTTGCTCGGCAGCATGTGGGATCTTCCCGGACCAGGGCTCTAACCCGTGTCTCCTGCATTGGCAGGTGGATTCTTAACCACTGCACCACCAGGGAAGCCCCTGGTGATTTCATTTTTTTAAAATGGCCCCCAAGCATAGTGCTGAAGTGCTGTCCAGTGTTCCTGAGCACAGGAAGGCTGTGATGTGCCTAATGGAGAAAAGGCATGTGTCAGATAAGCTTCATTCAGGGATGAATATAGCGCTATTGGCCATGAGTTCCATGTTAATGGGTCTATAATATTTATTAAATGAGGTGTCTTTAACAGAACACACATAAAACAAAATTATGTATTGATTGATTTACAAAAATGGCATGCCAGAAGCTGGTAGGAGCCTAAGCCTGCATTTCCCTGGGAGAATTGCTACTTCAGTGTTCACAGTGACTTTATAGAGCATAACTACCATGAATCATGAGAACTGACTGCACATAGTACACATTAGACTATAAAAAGTCATATAGTAAATGTAAAATGCTATCTATATGGGAGGACCAAAGGAGAGAATAATTCTGATAGGTAGGACTTGGAAAGGTATCATACAGTAGGGGACATTTGACCTTGCTTTATAGGGATATAGGGATGACAATAGCATTACTAAAGAGTCCAAAGAAAACCAGCTTTCCCTAGATGTGTCAGATGTTGGGGGAACCCAGCACAGGTGACTCTGCTGGATGAGGTTGGGCCTCAAATAGTGAGAAGCATGAAGTGTAGCAGTGTGCCTTTGAACAAGTTACTCAGCATCTCATGCCTTAGTGACCTGGTCTGTGAAACAGGAATAATAATGTTAAGTATCACATAGGGGTATTGGGAAGATTGAATGTGAGTTATTAAGTGTAAAGCACTTAGATCACTGTCTGGCATGTATTAAGTGCATATGCAACTTTTAAAATTTATTGTGGAAGCCTTTGACTGTACAATTGACTAATTCCAATTACATTCAATAAGCAGTAGAAGCTGTTTCTATATCCATATCTATGTCTATATCTATATTTCTATCTAGAGCTAAATACATCAACCTAAAACTGAGAATTATAATGGCCTCAACAAATTGGAATAACAATTTTAAACTATCCAACTTTCCAAACTTCATTTGGGAATTTCAAGATAGAACCAGTGCCTGTCTGAAAAATCCAAAACTCAGCTATTTTCGTTGGCATGACTGTTATCGGTGCTTCAGCCCCTTGATTTCTGAGTATATCACTGCCCTCTGGGCCAAGAGTAGCTTTAGAACATTTGAGCTCTTTCTGATACACAAATGCCTTTGTTTTGTCCACAGATAAAAGCTTGTCAGATGGAGAAAGAAAAACTAGAAAGGCAATTAAAACAGGTATGTTGATCCTTACTTAAATTCACCAGCCCTCTTGTCGTGTTTTTTTTTGGTTTTTTTTTTGCGGTACGCGGGCCTCTCACTGTTGTGGCCTCTCCCGTTGCGGAGCACAGGCTCCGGACGCGCAGCTCAGCGGCCATGGCTCACGGGCCCAGCCACTCCGCGGCATGTGGGATCTTCCCGGACCGGGGCACGAACCCGTGTCCCCTGCATTGGCAGGTGGACTCTCAACCACTGCGCCACCAGAGAAGCCCAACCTCTTGTCATGTTTGAAGTGCCAACTTTAAGTTTTACACATTTATTCCCAAGTACAGCAGTTCCTCATGGTCCCAACTGAAGGCATTTTCAAACTCTGGTACAGATGGCCTAGGACAACTCATGCTTTTCATTGTCAACTAAAATGTCAGTGGAGAGTTAATGCTTAGGTACCACCAAGGCCTCTCAACCCTAACACTCATGAAAAGCACATGTTACAGAACACGTTTTTACAGTAGCACAAGCTTTAGTGTGTGTTCATGCAAACAGATTTCTTCATAGACTCACAAACACCTGGGAAATATATTTTCTTGGTATTTCTTGCAGTTGCTTACACAACAGTGGAAAACTACGTCAAAGACTTGTGGCTTCTTTTGAGAAAGTAGAGTGTCTTCTTGGGTATTGGAGCATTCTAGTCCATTGGTTCGCTAGTAGCCTTAAGGAATGAATATTGTTTCTCTTAATTCCTAATTTCCTCTCTGGACTTTAGTTATGTCATCAGTGTCTCTGGCTTCAGTTTAAGAAAATTTATTTTATGGCTTAAAGGCTGGTTCTTCTTAAGCAAGGACTCTGTGAAGATAACTCAGAGACACAAAGTTAACTCTACATACATTTTCAAGTGTTTCTAATTTCTTCAACATGGAAAAGTAGCTACAGCGTCACCTTAAGCAAAATTTGACCTGTGAGCTTCATCTGTATCAGTCCAGAGTCTGCATTGACAGGCCTCCTATCTTGAATTTGTTATTATGCCAGATTTAGGCTAAACCTTAAGATTTCAACCAAACTTTGTGGTTGTATAAAACAAGTATCAGTGTGATTCCCCAATTTCACCCACTTCCCATGACCAACAGCATTGTTCTCCTCAGATGTATTTCCCAACCAGTAACTACGGCTGGAATTTCCACCTACGGGATCCATGCCTACCGACAGACCCTGGGGCTGTGCAGGATCGACAGAAGTACCCAGTAAGTAAGAGCTCCCATTGCAACAAATAAGTGCTTATATCTCTAATAAGTGCTAATATTCTCTTTTGGTAGAAATGATGTCTGTCTCAGGAATTTTGGCACATAATACTGTCTACATAAAGAGCCTCTATTTATCTCAGCCTCTAATTTGCAGAGTTACAGTGGTCTATGTACATTATAATTATCTTTGGGACACTGTATCCATAGGACATATAGATAGGAATACATTAACTGAAAGGTATCGAATTGAGCTAAAATTCCAGGAACAAACATGTAACACTTTATATGGGTCATTTTTAATGACATACCTGACTCTACCAAAAAGACATTTCTGTGTATAAAGAAAAGCAAAGTGAATATAGCAAAACAGTCTGGGAGATACCTTTTTCAGTTGTAGACTTATATTCAACTACTATGAATATTGCTACACCTGTGCAAAATAGTTTTTGACATTTTCCAGTTGAAAGGATCTTCTTAAAGGATCCAAGAAAAAGTGACCCACTTAAGTTGCTCTCTATGGCGGTGGCTACCCAAGCAAAATGAAGTGAACAGTGGAGCCATTAGTTGTGAGTGAAATTGATTTGGACAGTCAACCAGAATAAGTCAGACCCAGAGCACCCTCTCTTTCCTTCTCAATAACAGTGTTCCACCCACCATCCCCCATGGTCTGGAAGTTTGTCTCTACTCTCTATTTTTGCCTACATAGACAGAATCTTTATACAGGAAATAAATCATGCATTTTTCTGCATTTTGGATTGGCTCAGACAACCTCCTCCCCCTTAGTTATTATTAACTGTGTTTCTAATTAGGCAAAGAATCTGAGATTTTAAATCCTAGCAGGATTTTCCTAGCAGGACATTTAAGGAGTACATAGTTCCCTTAGTTGCCTGAAACTTCTCACACTTTTGTATTTGAGTGTGACTCTGAAGCCCTTTTCCCAAGGGAAGAGATAATGACTCTTTGGGTGGTGGAAGGAAGGATGTCAGAATTTAATGAGCATCTCTTAGTTGACCCTGGTGCGACACAGCATACAGCTGAGAATTTGGTTCTTTTTGTGTTGTTGGTTGCTTCTTCTGTCTGCTCTCCCTCCTCCATTTTCTTTTTTCTTTACCCATTTGCTTACCTTTTACTTTTCACTAGAAACATTTCTGGGAATGTCCAAACACAGCTATCATTCTGTATTTCTTTCAGAATGTAGAAGGAAATTAATATTGTGGGAAACAAAGAGATAGAAATTTACTAAGGAGTTTAATTGGCTGCAGGTTAGGGAATTGGGGGAAATACTCTCGTGGAAGGTTAACTGTAAATCCAAGGACTCATTCAAGTTTGCCTACACGTAAAAATGACTATTTTCTTCAAATCTTCGTTTGTGGAAAGAAGGCAGAAGTTCACCTACTATAAAAGCTCCTCAAACCTTTTCTATCAATTACAAGAGATAAGTCAGTCCAGATCACTTTAAATTATCATCAAATTTAAAAAAATATTATCACAAAATAAACGTCTGTATTTGAAACAAGATTCCAAGCCATGTAACAACTACATTTTCAATCAGTATTCACTTAAACAAAATCTCAGTATAAGGAGAGAAATTACAGAAACTCCCAGAGTTCATTTTAAAAGACTATTTCATGTTTCATGCTTATTTCTAAGCCTGAATTAAAGCACATGCAATAGTTTGTAAAATTATGGTATATTCACCTTCTTTTGGCAACTGTCCTGGAATATAAAACTGAGGCTCACGTCACTTATCCTATGTGTTATTTGAGACATCTAAAAATAAACGAGGAGATGAAAAACAGAGGTGATCTCATTTCCTCTTTTAGCTTTTTGTGGACCAAAAAGAGCCAGGAGCCTAGGTGTCTGAGTGAGGGTAAAGTGGGGTCAGGCAGTACCAAATGCAGCATTTCTTAGCGTCTTAGATAATTGAACTCTTAGGCTACTTTCAGTGGTCTGGCAGCCCTGTAAAATGCCCCCTATTGGCTCGTTGTTAGAGAAAATTCTCCTGAGTTATTTTCAGGTGGTAATTGGATAATAGAACAAAGGGCCTGTCTTCTCTGGGTCTTGGGGAGGAGGTAGAGGAAGCAGGAACAAGCATCTGGAGCAGGAAGACAGACCAACCTCCTTGGCAGGGAAAGCTGAGATTCCTCTGTTCTAAGTGGCTAAATACAAAGATTCTGGCCTTGGAACTGTATTTTGAAATTCAGGTCTATAGTTTATGATTTATTTCAATGCAATTTGTTTAACAGGTTTCCTGATGTTCAATGTCTAGCTGTTCTTAATTGGTGTAAATCTAGGAAAAAAATCCCAAGAGAAAAATCCAAGTCTAGCCTCTCTTCTCACTGACTTTCTAATCTAAACTACGCAATTTAGAATAGTTTCTGCAGAGGAACAAGTACAAAGGGAAAGATTTTCGCTCCTTTACCATCCTGAGCCACTATAAGCCATGTCCTCATGTAATGGCTTAGATTTCTTCCTTGAGCCACCAGAAAACATTAAACTTGTACATTGTTGTCTTGGTCTTCCTGTTGCCTCCTGTGCGAGGGTTTTATAAGGAGTATTGTTGATGATAAATTCTTTTGTTTTATTTACAGGCTGTAGTAAGTTTTACAAAAGTCTTTATACTTCGGCACATATCCGAAACACATCTGGTTTAAAATAAATAAATAAATAAAACCACAATCGCAAAGTAGTAGACATTCTGGCTGAACACAGAGTGGATTTAGGAGGGGGGTAGGGAGATGGTAATAGTGATGAGGGAGATAAGAGGGGTGAGCAAGGTTGGCCCCTTTGTGTTGCCTGCATAACAAAAGCCACATAGGGTAGTTATATTTTTAACACGCCACTATGTTTGGTTTGAAGCCCATGCTGCTATAATAATGTTTTATTGTTCCACACAGCCAGACTATCAGTGGTATGCTCCCGACCTGTTTCCGCCAGATGTGCAGGACAAGGCGAATGGTAAGACCGCAGCTGTATTGAGCATTCTTTCATGTTTACATTTTAATGGGCTCTTTTGGGGATGTTTACTCGACATATATTCACTCATACTCGGGAAGGACCCACTATAAAGTTGAGTTGCGTACACACCTCTAATGTGATGCACCTGGGGTTAAATTGAACTCCTTTAGAAAAAGAAAATGTTCGAATGCAGAAATGCATAGATCTCAGTTCTGGCTTCTGTTCCTATTCCATCTCAGAGTCAGTATTCCATCCGGGGTTAGAAATGAGAACTTCCAGCAGAGCTGCATTATAACAACAACAACAAAGTTCTGTGATTCTACTGCAAAAGACAGACGCACATCCACTATTCCAGGTTGAGTTTGCTAGACAGATGTTTTAAATGTCACTGGCAGACAGACAGAGGAAACCAAAGGCTCAGAGCTGTGTTCCCTAATGACTAAGTGTCAGGCTCCAAGTTTAGGCCAGAGTTGCCCACAATGCCCACTTCTAAGTATGCTGAGAAAAATGAAAAAGTCATCTACCAAGTACTCACAACTAAGAGTACTCTTTTACCTTATTTTTCTTTGGTTTACCATTCTCTTCTTTCTTTCCAGAATCTGCTATACTTTCTACTGCTTGTTTCTCTGGTCTCATGAGGCCACCCAGGAGTGGGCTGAATAAACTGGGCTATAATTATAATCCCTCTTGTTTTCATCACATATAATCAAAAGTCAGCGATGTCTGCTGCATGTTTAAAATTCCACATGACACATACCTGTGACTCTAAGTTGTTAATTTCCAGAGATTGGAATCTATCTACAAAAGCTGAAGAGGAGCCATATTCCAATTTCAGGCCGTACTTGGAATGTTATCTCATTTAGTTCAGATCTGAGGTCACAGAATTCTAGTTTTTAGTACAAGGAATCCGTTATGGAGTGGAAGTAGAGAGCCGGGGATACCATATGTAATTTTCCAGTTGGGAACTTCACAAGTCCAAGGGCTTTTCATGGTAGTCTGCATAAATGGAGCCTCCTACAGTTGTGCGGCACACAACCTGGACAGCTGTACACAGCAGCACTGAGAGTGGCAAAGGCCGTAGCTCACAGTAGCATTATGGAGAAGAAAGATAAAAAGTGAGAACTCTATAATAAAATGTCTAGGTATTTATCAGAAAACTGTAGGACTTTCTTTTTTCTTTTCTTTCTACTACTAATATAACCATTCGTTTTAATGAAGTTCTTGGGTTCCAGTCATAAAGGAGAGCTTTTAATAGAAAGGCATACTATTAACCATAATGAGTGTTGCATAATGTCTGTGCAATTCTGAAATACATTAGCTGAGTTGCCATCCAATTATAGTTTCCCGTTTTATATTATAATGGTCTGGAATGAATATTAAAGATATTTTCTCCTGAGTTGGAATTTAATCACTAGAAAATACAATTATGCAGTTGAGAATTCAATAATATCATAAAGCCATTTATATATCACTATTGTATTCGTCCTGGACCAAAGTAATAGAAACTAATGATTATATAAAATAGGAATGAATTGTGATGATCTTCAGAAACTAAATAACATGCAAAAATATAATCTTATAGTCAGTGTGTGAAACCTACTGATTTTTGTCTACTTGGGAAGAAATATAAGAGCTCTGTGATATATAAACATGTTGTGTGACAGGGTCTACAGATATAAAGTAAGTTTTATTATTATACCATTTTACAGATGAGGAAACTGAGGCTGGGAGAATTTAAGTAGCATGCCTAAATCACAGAGTTAGGAAGATTTAACCCTGGGATTAGATTCCAGGTATATAACACTTCAAAACCTGTGCTTGAATCATATCCTGTAGTGCCCTTGAAAAGCTACCTCTCTTACTATATTAAAATTCTCTAAAATGGTAGATATAAAAATGACAATGGGGGTCTTAACTTGGCTAATTATAGGTCTAGTATCTAACCCTCAATAATCTCTTCTTCCTAAGAACTCATAGCATATATTATCTGTGCTTCTCATTCGACACTTAGAATATCACAGGTAAAAGACACAGTACTATGTAAGAATAAGTGCATAATAAATGTGTTACGAGGTAAATCTTGCTTGGGCAGTCCTGGTGGAAACTGAAGGGTTATATTACCATTTGAAACCTGTCCTCTGTACCAGCACTGCTCTGCAGCTGACTGTGTCTTGTCTAGAGCAGGGAAGAGGGCTGGTCATGACTAGGGGACTATTATAGAAAGAAACCTCCTTACTTTAAAATCTACCTGCTTGGAATTCCTGTTGCCCCTCTTCTAGCTTCCAAAACTGATGCTGTTTCAAAGCTCAAGCCAGAAGCTCTGAAATCACCCTTGTTGCAAACATCTCACGTGCCATTATTTAACTGCAGTAGTGATTCTTGTGATTTTTTGTTTTATTTAATTGGAAAGCTCCTTTTGCTTTGTCGATCCAACACAATTGCTCAGAGTTCTTAAAAATAATTGTGTAGTATTGATTGTTTAAAAAAATATGGGTTTAAAGAGCTTTTATTATAAAGATATTTTTATTGTCTCATCATATGACCAATACATTTATTCTCCACTATTCAAGAATATACTGCTAGTCAATATAGCCTGTGTTTTGGACTAGAAATACCAAAATGCAAGCAATGGAAAGAAAAATGAGTGGAAAAATTAGACTCTGTTTCTGATAATCTATAAACAAACTATTTCTGAAAACTGCTATACGTTTTATTCATGTAATAAATACCTAAAATATTTTATTTATATTTAAATAAAAAGGATCCTTTTTAAAATGTGGGTATTTAAATTAATGTTAATTAGTACATATGCTTCCTAGATTGTCCTAGTTCTCGGTTTTTATTAATTTCCTATTACTCCTGACAAATTTATTTTTCTGACCCCAATATATGTAGGGTATTTTTATCTTAGTATCTTCCTTTATAATTATTCCTCTTATAATTTAACCTGAAATAGTGGCTCCAATGTCTACACATAGAGTGGCAGCCTTGTGATTTTTAAAAGGGACAGTGGGTACAAAATGGGTGACTAAACGTCTGTGCTACTGCTAGAGCCTCCTCTGACATTCCCAGGGTCTGCGACAAGAACACAAGGAAAGCTGCATACTTTATTTGTAAATATTTAAACATTATGGATCAGGCTTAGAAGCTATTAAAGTATAGTCTATCCTCCTATTGATAAATATAACTGGAAGGCCAGCGTCAAATTTAGAACACTCAGATTCCAACCAGTTCTGTGCCAGAACGCAGTGGCACAGGAAGACCTGAGCCATGACCCACCCCCTTCCCTCCCACCTACCCACTGGGAGGAGTCTTGAGCGTGAATTTGAGGACAGCCAGCAGGCACATCCCAACTTCAAATACCCCTCACTACCCTACAAACAGCACCCCTTGGCTTCGGGCCTGGGGAAGAAAACCACATGGGGCCTGGAAGCAGACCCGGGGTCACCTAGCAAAGAATCTGGGGGTCTGCTTGTGGGTGCCAGGAGCTTGTTCTAAAGGAAAGTAGGCCCACATGTTGAGAGGGAGTCTGGCTGGAGCAGGGCCAGAGCAGGGTCCTCTGAAGAGTGGGGACCCAGTGAAGGGCTCCCTGGCCGAGGATTAAGGTCAGTTGGTACTGAGTACAACATGGAACAGTCTTCAGGTCAACTGATTTCCAGCCTTGCTCTCAGCTACTGTCTGTGGTTATTTTAGAGTGCTTTGGGGACACACTGAAAATCAAACGTTCTTTCAGAACCTCAAGATTTAAATAAAGGTTTTCAAGGCTTTGAGACTTTCCTAGCTTTCTCTCTGCATAGCATTAAATAATGCATTTTTCTACATGATGTAGAAAATGCAACATCTACATGATGTCCCCAGATGTCAACGGGTTACAGTTTCTGTTTAAACATGTGATTTTACAAAGAACTTTTAATCTCATTTTATCTGTTATCAGAATGAGATGCAAAATGACTTCCATGTTTCCAGAACAATTATGGCACAGCAGAGTTAGTATAACCTTGAAAGCATTGAAAGGTTGTTTGTTTCCTCCTTTTTGAAATGTCAAAAGGCTATGTTTTCTGACTCTATTGTATGCCAATCACTTCTGTACCTTCCAAAATTTTCATATGGTATAGAGCTGAACTTTGTCTAATAAGCTGGAGCTCAATTCTTACATATTTGGAATGGCATGAAATGTAGGCATGCAAGATTGTGTTGTGAGCAAACATCATTATTTCTTTACAATATAGAAGATCAAAGCCCAACCATTATAATTGGCCTTTACCGATGTCTAATAATAAAGAATTAATTGAATACGGCCTGAATTCGTTTCCTAGGGCTACCATGACCAAGTACCACAAACTAGGTGGCTTAAAACAGCAAAAATCTATGCTCTCACAGCTCTGGAGGCTGGAAGTCTGAAATCAAGGTGTTGGTACGGTCGTGCTGCCTTCAGAGCCTGTAGGGGAGGGTCCTTCCTTGCTTCTTTCAGCCTCTAGTAGTTCCAGATGTTCCTTGGCTGCGGCAGCATAAGGCCAATCTCTGCCTCTCTCTTCACGTGGCTATCTTCCCTCTGTGTCTGTGTCTAAATTTTCCTCTTCTTATAAGGACACCAGTCATATTGGATTAGGCTAATCCAGTGTAACCTCATATTAACCTGATTATGTCTGCAAAGCCCCTATTCCCAAATAAGGACACGTTCACAGGTACCAGGGGCAAGCACTTAAACATATCTTTTGGGGGGACACGGTTCACCCAATAACACTAACTATATGCCAGAAATTGTTTTAGGGGCCTTATATTTATTATCTCGTCAAAACCTTACAGCAACCATGTGAAACGAGGACTGCCGTTGTCCCTGTTTTGTAAATGTGAAAACTGAGAAGCAGAGAGATCATGTAACTTGTCCAGCCCCACATGGTTGGACATGGCTGGTTATTGGCTGGGACACAGACAAGCCCACACAGTGTAGCTCCAAAGCCCACAATGTAACCACTAAGCAATATGGACCACCCCATGCTCTGCATTAAGTAAAATGTAATAGTGTCATACTCTGCATTTATTCTATTTAAATAAATTCTAATGGTCCTGTCCTGAAAACCAGAATCTTTATTCTCAGGGAGTGGCTTTTTTTTTTTTTTTTTTTTTTTTTGCGGTACGCGGGCCTCTCACTGCTGTGGCCTCTCCCGTCACAGAGCACAGGCTCCGGACGCGCAGGCTCAGCGGCCATGGCTCACGGGCCCAGCCGCTCCGCGGCATGTGGGATCTTCCCAGACCGGGGCACAAACCCGTGTCCCCAACATTGGCGGGCGGATTCCCAACCACTGCGCCACCAGGGAAGCCTCCGGGGTGTGTCTTTTTATAACTGTCTTTATTTAAACATTACAGGTGATTTTACATTGGTAAATGGCTTGGATTAGTTGGATTTTTTCCATTTCCTAATAGTATGAAGAGATAAAGGAACCAGTGTAAATAGTAAAAAGTACTTAAGAAATGTAAGAAACAGAAGAAACTTAAAGACCATACTTTGTATAATTTTCAATACAGATGGATAAAATATTACAATATTTTTTTATCAAATACATTACTTTCTTAATAAAGGAAATTAATAGAAACTTAGAGGCAGATAATTTTATGCCTGTTTCTAGATTGTTTGAAAAGAATTACAGGAGAAATGCCACCTCACCTTTAATGCTCTAAAGGTCAGCTTATCAGTAAACTAAATGATTTTGCTAAAAGAATAATAAAGTGCAAAATTATATTTACATGTACAGGAACATATGAAAATACAGATGGTAAATATATTCCTAGTCAAACATTGATTTTATAAGCAAATACTAAACATTCTATTTAACATTTTGTATGAATAGATATAGAAGATAGATAGATGATAGATAGATCAATCCTAGATGAGAAAAATGCACACAATAAGTCTAGACTAGTCGCAATTCCACCAGGTAAATAAAATTGTAGTAATTCTCTTAAATGGAAGATAAAAATCCATAGGGAAGGAAAGCAAGGTATATATTTTATTTTTCTGCATCCCAACTGGGAAGAAAGTCTACTTACCTAGATTTCCTTACTGTTCATGCCTAACAGTTCACATTCTAAGAGGTTAGTGGGCATGTAGAGAGCAGAGTCCCCTCAATCCTTTTAAAACCCTCTGTGGCGCTGATACCCCCTCCACTCTTAACCACTGTACTTTAGATTCAGCTAAAACTTGATGTAGAGTTGAGACATGGTTTCTGCCACCAAGATCTCTGGCATCTATTCAGATCACTTTGGCATCAGGCTACTTAACCTGTGCTCCTGTGAACATGGAAACCTACAGTGTAACCAACACCATTAATAGATAGTTACTTACCCAATTAGTGGGTAGAGTCCTTCACCAAGCAATAAGGCAAAGCCAACTCTTCCTAGCAGGTGAGGACCCACATTCCCTTGTGGTGTTTCTCTTGTCCTGCCCCCATAACTGCAGAGCCAAGTCTCACAACAGAAGTCTCTAACCAACTTCACTATATAAGGACACTCTGCCTTCCATTCTAGGAACTCAAGACCTGTATTTGCCTTTTTTCAGATTTGCATTCTGCCATGGATTATCTCATGGGCCATAGCTGCTCTCCATCTAAAACTTAGGGGTAGTAGCCCTTGCCTCTATACCTATTTCACAAGAGTGCTATAAAAACTACACAGGAACTAATTTTTCTTAATGTTTTAAGATACCTAGAGGTAGGTATCATTAATCATTAATTAAACTTTAGGGTTGGTTAGACCAGTAGATCATGCTTCTGGATCCAAATTTATGTTCTCACCATATTAGATATCTTTTCTTTTTGGAAATGCAAAAGCTTTTTAATCAAATTAAGGAATGCTTCCAGACTTTAAAAAATTATTATAAAGTTATATTCCCATCTAAACACGTTTTTACCTATATTTTTATATTTTCTCAGTTTAGTGCATAATCATGTCTAGTCTGTCTTTAAAATACACCAAAAGTTCAGGTATATATTGTAAATGAATTCTTTGCCATAAATTGTAATTCGGTGCCATAAATTGCATGTAATTTCAAAAACGTACACTGCAAATATCTTAAGAACGTTATGCGGCTAAGTTCCTGTAGAAACTGTAGCTAACATTTCTGAGAAAGTAAGATACGTATTAGGTTTAATATAACTTTCCAAAAAGGCATTAAATATTTTTTTTCTTTTTTTATTGAGGTATAGTTGATTTACAATATTATATGAGTTTCAGATGTATAACATAGTGATTCACAATTTTTGAAGGTTATACTCTCCTCATAGTTCATTAGAACATATTCATCCATTCGTTATAAAATATTGGCTATATTTCCTGTGCTGTACAATAAAGCCTTGTAGCTTATTTATTTTATGCATGGTACTTTGTACCTCTTAATCCCCTGGCACTTTCTTGTCCCTCTCCATTCCCTCTCCCCACTGGTAACCACTGGTTTGTTCTCTATATCTGGGAGTCTGTTTCTGTTTTATTATATTCCCTAGTTTGTTGTATTTTTTAGATTCTACATATAAGTGATATCATACAGTATTTATCTTTCTCTGTCTGACTTATCTCACATAATACCCTCCAAGTCCATCTATGTTGTTGCAAGTTGCAAAATTTCATTCTCTTTTATGGCTGAGTAATATTCCATTATATATGTATTATGTATTATATATATTATATATATCCATTATACATGTAATGGATATATATAATACATATAATATATTATATATATATATATATATATATATATATATATATATCCCACATCTTCTTTATACATTCATCTGTTGATGAACACTGAGGTTGCTTCCGTATCTTGGCTATTGTAAACAATGCTGCTATGAACATTGGAGTACATATCTCTTTTTGAATTAGTGCTTTTGTTTTCTTCGGATACATATCCAGGAGTGGAATTGCTGGATCATACGGTAGTTCTATTTTTAGTTTTTTTGATGAACCTCCATACTGTTTTCCACAGTGGCAACACCAATTTACACTCCCACCAACAATGTCCAAGGGTTACCATTTCTCCACATCCTTGCCAATATTTGTTATTTATGGTCCTTTTCTTGATAGCCATTCTGGCAGGTGTGAGCTAATATCTCATTGTGGTTTTGATTTTCATTTCTTTGATGATCAGTGATGTTGAGCATCTTTTCATGTGCCTATTGGTCAAATGACTGTCTTCTTTGGAAGAATGTCTGTTCAGGTCATATGCCCATTTTTAATTGGGTTGTTTGTTTGTTTGTTTTGATATTGAGTTGTATGAGCTATTTATATATGTTAGATATTAACCCCTTATCAGTCACATCATTTGCAAGTATTTACTCCCATTCAGTAGCTTGTCTTTTCATTTTGTTTCCAGTAGATACCTTTCTATGTAATGGCCGCAGTTCTCAGAAGAATATTTTTTCAACCTGAAAAAGTAAACTTTTATCTTCCTGTTACTAAAATGTTAGTTTAGCATATCTTTGAAATACCAAATGCAGGGCAGCAAGTATAAAACATTTAACATATACTAAAACATTATCATGAATCAGGAAAACACCTTATTTCTTGGCATTTATGCAATTTTTTTTCTGTTGCCATGAGTAGACTTCTTTGATTTTGCTTTCCCTATGGCACTTATTTGTGGCATTTTATCCTGGTCTTACTAAAATATTCCGTCACATCGTAAGAACTGTGATCTTTTCTATGGCTTCGGCAAGAACGCACCCAATATCGTATTTTTAAAGTACTTTATTTGGCAGTTATCTCTCTGTGGGATGAGTACTGAACCAAATAGTAACACATATGACTCACTTGCATAAGCAAATGCCAGAGCCACCAAAATGCCGGCAAGAATGAGAAGTCGTCTGTGTCAGGCATGATTAAGACGAGGCCACAAGTGATTTCACGTAAGCATATGTCAGTCCTGAAGATAATAACCTTCCATTTGCTGCCTCTTGATTTCTCAGTGTAAACTTGTGGGTGCCCATGAATAAAATACTTCTTTTCTCGCCAGCCTCGAAGTTTATGTTAGCCCTAAGCCAGAAAAAGAGAAATGAATTTTTAATTTTCAATCTGAAACATTTTCCTGCCGTTTTTCATAGGTTTCTCCTCAGAAAAGAAAGCCAATGCATAGAAGCACACGCTGTTGGAGGAGCACACAGGCCGAGGGAGAGCTCGGCTGAGGGCCCTCGTTCCTCTTTTTACTGTGGCTTGTGTCTGCCACACCTGCACATCACCTCCTCCACTATTCATACCTGGTAATGTTTCCCTTTGGCACGGATGGAGAACAAGGCTGTGACAGCTGAGATCCTGATCAAGTCCTAGGGGCCAAAATTATACAACCTATCACAACTTCCAGCTTCCTCGAAATGAGAAAATCCTAATGTGATGGTGATGGCTTTGCTGCGCACATATATACCTAGACAAGTAGTTCAGAGACACATCGATCTGCAGTTAAATCTGTGTTTTTCTTCCTGTGCATCAGCGTAATTATTAACAAAAAACGTAACTCAGTCTTCTCAAACCAATTAAAACGGAAAACGAATGTATCCAGATTTTATTGCAATTAAATTATACAGTGATGTGACAGATGTCTAAAGATTAAGCAGGTTTAAAAGTATTCATCCATTTAATAAGGATTCTACTAGAGGACCAACTGGAGATCATCTTTGCGAGGACGTATAAAGCAGGAGTGTGAGATTCACAGATGTCTGTACTTCTAGAAGTAACTAAAGAAAACCAGGAGCGTCAGCTGAAGCTGCAGTCCAATAAACAATCCAGGGATAAGGGCTGAGACTATCTAGCTCCAACTTCCAAAAGTTATTCTGCTTAATTCCAGCTCAATCGTTTTTGTTTTTTCAATTTCTGGAAATACTTGAAGCTTTGTGTAATAGGAAGATGAAAGAGCCTTACTAAGCAGTTAAATACTTTCAACCTCAGTCTTTGGCTATTTAATTCTTTAATTAAATTAAATTCGTTAATTCACTAAAGCTTTGTTTTTTCTACAACTGATTAAAGAGACAAATCATTCTTGGCCAATACTTCAGTATAAGTGAATCCGAAAAACAATAGTTACATCATAACATTTTGGTGTACTTTTGAAAATTTCCATTTCCTTGAATTAGTGAAAAAGTCATTGTAATCCAACTTCTAGTAGTGGATTAAGTTTGCCAACTGAGGTGTGCTCACCAGAATAAAAATTGAACGTATATATAAGAAGTACCCCTTGGTAGCCTTGTTACAGGTCAATTCAACAGCAGTAAAACATGATTTAATCGTGCCATTACTATTACTGAAGTCATCCTATTACTAATTAGCAAACTGCCAAACATTGGCAAGATTGTACAAATGCTAATGTATTGGGAGAAAATCCAGTTTGGGTGAGACCTAATTTCATTTCAACTCCCGGTGGGTGACTGCAAATGTGCAAAGAGGACCCCTTGTTCAGAGTACTACTGTAGTTCCAAGAAGACAGGTTTCCACATCCCCGGCCTGCGAGTCAGCCAGTCCCTCTTGTGACCCTCTCCCAGAATCATTTGGGGACGTCTCTGTCTCAGCTCATTATAAAGGTCATACCCCTGTGCTGTGGCACTTGCTTCATTATCACACACGGTCTGTGGAAACTGTGTGAGGAATAGCTCTATCCCTTTGAAAAGAGAGGAAATCATACCACACAGTGGTCTCTATTACTTTGAAAATGTAAGACCAGGCATATTTTAAGTTTTCAAAGGTCATGGAGAATTCAATCTTTGACTTGAAGGTATCACATGAAGAGAAAGATGTATTCACTTTCTCATGGTTGTGATGTGATGTCAGAAGAAAACCTTCCTTGGAGTCTAGTTAGGTCTGGGATTGAGGCCAGCCTGTAACACTCACTAGCATAGATTTTTTTTTAACCCCATTTTCCTTATCAACAAAAATAATATTTAAGGCTAAATTTCTAATATTATTAAGCATGGACTAACTTCAGATGGTTTTTCTTAGTTTATTTATTGAGCTCTATCACCCAGCAAGAGAGGTATAAATATCCCATTGTTACAGGTGATTAATCCAAGTCTCATGGCAAGAAAATGGCAGAGCCAGGATTCAAAACTAACCCAGGGCTGGCCGCCCAGTTCTATGCACGCTATAATTCTGCTTCCTAAATTATTCCAGCAAGTTCCACTTGTTTTATGGTTCTTTGGGTCTTCATCAATTCGCAGTTATAAGAGCATACTTCTAGGAGAAAGTATTTTGACAAAAAATACTACATATTTTATAGAATTTATGTTACCCCCTGGGTTAAGGGAAGTATCTCATTTAAGCTCCTACATAGAAAAAGGAAAATGTACATTTAACGTTAAAATGCATTAAAGGTAGAACTATGGGCCTGATTGGTTGCTTTCATGTATTGATACTTTTTCACGTAGCTCAGACACTGGTCGAATTGAATCTAAAAGACATATATCTCCCAATTCAGTGATTCAATTTAACAATTATTCTTTAAACACTCACTTATTTTCGAAAATGTCCAGGCAGCTCAAAGCATCTCACACTGATTCTTTGTCTATGCACTAATTTTGGTGGAGTCCATATTTGGAGGGGAGGACAGAGTCATTTAGCAGCCATTATTCTCCCCAACTTGAGGGTCCCTTTGCCCCATTTCATTTCTGTCACTTTCTTCTAATCATCCTGGGCACCTGCAGGATGTTAAATCCTAGGCAGATATAAAATCAGTTGCACTGCTGTTGCAGCCACACTATGATCCTTTTGCTGGCTTAAAATTGCTTAAGCTCCAAGTACAAGCTCAAAAGAAAAGAAAATCTTTGCTCTAATCCTTACTTTTCAATAATTTTAGAAATAGTTTCTCTTGCCTAGTTTCCATCTTATATAACTACCTCTTCACTTTCATCAGTCTTTGCTCCAAGGGAAAAAGGTGTTAAGGGGAAACAGTTATACCTCCAGACTTTGTGATTCCATAGAAAAGGGAAGTTTTACCAGCACACACATGCTATACACACACGCACACACACCAGGCACCTACACACACACACACACACACCACACACACACGCCCCACCTCTGCCTCCCCAGCCTTCCAGGCAGCACTGTGGGACTCTAGTTTCTCCATTTGCGGCTGGGTAGATATATTCAAATTGAAAATTTTGCATAATAAAGTTATGTCTTTCCGTTTTGCCTCAAATGCTGGTGTGTGTGTAATATATTGCCAAGAATATTGACAAACTCTATCTTAAGCCTCCTACAGGAAGTGATAATGTTGAGATCTAGAACCAATTAACTTGCCAATAATTGCTGAGTAATAGGAGGGGAATTTAACGTTTGTGGAAATGCGTGAGTTTCACCAGTTTGTGTCCTGCGCCCAGAAGCTTAGCTAATTTCTCTCTGCTCTTCTTCCACCTTATTCCACTCCAGCAGCAGAAGGGGGAGCACAATATATGAGGCTCACGGAGTACTGCTTTGGTAAACTAAACCCAACCCCAGGGCTTCCCAATGCTCTTAACCTATTCCCGAGAATTAGTTTGTTGGGAGAATCATCGTATGAGCTGATTTCCCTGAGTCTGCGCTTGACTGGGGGGAGCATTTGCACATCTGCGGGGGAACCTCACAGCTCCCTTCTTCCTCTCCCCCTCTGCAGCCGTCAGATGACGACCCACATCAGCCAACACAGACACAGAGGCATCTGGCAAGCACGAGGCCCCCTCCACTTGGAGACGCCTCTGCAGGCCGAGAGGCTGGCTTTGCGCTGGGGAAGCTGCTGTGTGTCGCTTCACGTGCATTTGCCACACTCGGGCCATTTCCATCCGCCCTGGGAAGTGGGTGCTGAGGGAACACATGTGTGAGATCACAGGGTCCGGCCTAGGCTGAGATGATACTCCGCATTTCTCAAGAGGGGTTACAGCATTGAGCAGGATTTAGCATATGTAAAGAATGAGACTTAAGCCTTCTCTCCTCCTTTGATTCTGTTTAACTTCCATAGGTTCTTTCTCTCTGTTCCTGGGTGGAGACCCTAATGTCTTCCTGCTTCCTGACCACTCCTGAATGCCTACCAAAAACATGTCTTTCCCTTCTGTTTCCTTTATTCAGACTTTTCTCGTGTTCCTTTTAAGTAACGGAAGTTTCTAAAAGGCAAGATGGATGCTAGCATGAATGTAAGCAGTATGATCTCAAGTTCTCTCAGATGTGGTAACTTACACGGAGGTCTCCAGATTCCTATTACTTAATCCAGACCCCTCTCCCGATTCCTAATAAAGAGCTCAGTGCATCCCAAACTGTGATGGATGCCATCGTCCCTTCTAAACCCACTCTATTTCCTATTTTCATCTACAGAATTGTCATTCATCTAGTCCCATAAACCAGAGACCTTTGAAACAGTAGCAAAGCAACATTTTCGGCATATTATGCTTTACTATTTCGAGAAAGGTAAAAATGCAACCGAAACACAAAAAAAGATTTGTGCAGTGTATGGAGAAGGTGCTGTGACTGATCAAACATGTCTAAAGTGGTTTGCGACGTTTCGTGCTGGAGATTTCTAGCTGGACGATGCTCCACAGTCGGGTAGAACAGTTGAGGTTGATAGCGATCAAATCAAGACATTAATTGAGAACAATCATTGTTATACCACGCGGGAGATAGCCGACATACTCAAAATATCCAAATCAAGCATTGAAAATCATTTGCACCAGCTTGGTTATGTTAATTGCTTTGATATTTGGGTTCCACATAAGTTAAGCGAAAAAAACCTTCTTGACTGTATTTCTGCGATTCTCTACTTAAACATAATGAAAATATTCGGTTTTTAAAACCTCTGCCACGCAGCACAATAACTCTGCGAGTTTGACCAAAATACTCAACCTCTATGAGCATCAGGTTTTCCTTGAATAAGTATCCCACATAGTATTTGGGGGCTTCAGGAACTTCTGGTTTGCCATCTCTGTTTTGCCATCTCTGTTTTACCAACTCACCATGACCTCCAAACCTCATGTCACCCTGGATGTAAACCTGGATATGAAATTCGGAACCTTCCAGAGGATCCGCAAGTAATCTAATCCCTGAAATGAGTTTCTCATGGTTTGTACAGTCCGTCCTAAATATTTGTGGGATCATGGGGATTGCATTCATAGCATCCCACTACAG